ACCGGCGCTTCACCACTTGACTATAACCGATATTGACCTTCTCGTTAGCAATCACATAATTTATGGGACCCGGTTTTTTTTGTTCACTATCATTCACTCGTCGTGTTGTGATTTCGCAAATGCAATACATTGACATGTTTCAAGACGCTGGATTAAAACCTATCTTAGATTCTGGGAGCTGCATGGATAGCATCAACGAATTGCTGTTCTTCGAGCTACAGAAATTGAAGACAAACTAAAAGGACGTGTACTCACCCGGACTACGATGCATTGATCAATTGTGGTTACACGGGTAGTTTATTACGCAATCACCAGGACCAGTTGATGATCTGTGTTTGTGTGTGGTTCCTGTTAGGTAGGTCAGAAAGCCGTGGCTGTTTGGCCGCACTCACATATGTGTTGATGGAGCTCGTGTGACATTATCCTCAATTCAGAAAGATATTTCATTTGTTCATATCATACTTATATATATAGATATATATACCGCTAGTCGTGAGTTAGGCACGTTTATTGTAAACTTCATCCCCCACTGCAATGTTTTTGATTCTCTTGTAACTCTGGTCGAGTTTGTTGGATCTTGAATGCAAGGATAAAAATCGTATTATTGTTGAAATTGCAGGCCAGAGTTGGAAATTATTTGGTGCACAGCGTCATGGAAGTTAATTTCTTCCTATAAATGATTGGTGTGTGCCTATGAACTACTCACGTAAAGCTACTTGTCATGAGGAGAGTAGAAATGCATTCCTAGAACCGTGCAAATTAACATTTATGGGTTGATCTTGAATAGCGCAGCTCCTTCAACTTGGTGTTTTGTTACACCACTGTGCCCGAACCAGAAGGAGCATTCAAGATCTTTCGGTATGAAATTGTGAAACAGAGAGAGGGAGACAGCGTACTAGACGGGCTCATAAATCTGACCCCTCAGATACTGAAATGTAAATAGAAGCACAATCTATCTCAATATAACTGAAATATTGTTTTCGCTGTTCTGAAGGCTGGGACAAGTCATCTACCTCTACAATGGTCGTTAGAGATCTGGGTGCAATATGTACCGGAGGAAACTGATAGAGCTGCGTTGTGATTGCCAATCAAGTGGACTCCCGGACATGAGTACGGGCCAAAGTGCGCAATTATGTTGGACAAAGTATTAAGAAAATTAAAATACAATATGTGTTATGAGTCATTTTCAGTCATTTTCATCAAAATTATATTCTCACGACTTTTCTCTACTCATACTCCGGTTATCTTGCAAACGTCGTTGAAATCGAGAAATCGTAGGTTTATAAAAGAAACAACCACGTAGGTGAATACCACGGAAGAATAGTTTTGAGTGGCCTCGGATGCTGCCATACACATTCTCATACATGGGACTTGATACATTAGACACTGAGCTGACGAGATTTGGGTCAAAAACCGTGGCCTCGCACCATTCCGATCAACACGTTAGTAGTTCATACAAACATAAACAGCCAGAAAAGAAGGTATTCTGTTGTTCCCTACATGTTCACTGCACCTTATGTCCCAATCTGTGCAGCATAGATCCCGTATTCTTTTCGTCCTGTTGTGATTTCACCGGAAACCGGATTGATGTAATCATCCACTACTGATGCATGTGGAGAATGTGAGAATTTCCGCACAGCTTTTTCAGTTCTGTACCGTTTCCACTGTCACTTTTGCCACATTACCGTCCTGACAAAAGTAATTCACCGGGTTTGGATAATATTTTAACGCAAATTATTTTTCCGTTTCTTCTCAATTGTGCTGTTATGCAAAAACATTATTTTCTTTTGAATCCATTTTCTCAATACCAGAAGACAAATGTGAGCAGAACTGATATTGGACGTCAATTTCGCCTGCTCTCATTCAGCTGTAGACGCACATTTATATGATCATGTCAAATGAAGAAACAGGGGAGTTGAGGAGTCCTTTGGACAAGGTGGTGGAACTCGTTGCATTCCAACATCAGACTGAAATTAGACTGTGAATTGGAATCGAAACTTCCATTTCATGACTTACTACTCAATAGATTGCCAGCCAGATGAGAAACTACAAACAGCTATGTGTTGAAAGCCTACGTGGACAGGACAGTATCTTCACCTGAAGAGTTTCTATTCTGTGGGATACAAACGTGGTCTAGTGTGCACTCTCTTTCACGCGGTTCATCAACTAAGTAGTCCAGATGATTTGGGCCTTATTGACACATGCTTTGGTAAACTATGGTTATCCCATCACATTCATTCATAAGCACTCTGATCAGGTCAAATCCAAACCCGATTTCCTTAATAACTAAGAAGAAAGACATCTACGTAGAATTACATTCCATCTCTTGCTATGTCTTACCCCTCGGGAACTCGAAAAAGGGTGGTAAATTCCAGGAAATGCCACAGCATGTTAGTCAGTAGTATATACTATTAAGTAGTATGAAAAATCGATTGGGAGTTTCATGACGGAATAAACCGGGTCAATGAAAAGAGCGTTCATTCCGTTACTTGTTCCCAATGTTTGTAATTATGTACCGTTTATTTATAACAGAATTTCAATATACCGTCCTGCGTATCCTTTATGTATTGAAGAAATTGAAATCTTTCATGATACCCTCAGCTGAATATTGGTACGTTGCATCCGATATTAAGCCCTTTTTCAGTTTCAAGTGTTTAGTTACCCCGAGTTTACCCACCTTTCTTCAGAGGAATTTCTTCTTACCCAATAAGCACATATTAGTTCCAGATATTCCTCCCTTCCTTTGCAATGTTAAACTAACCATGGAATTGAGTATATGGAGTCGACCATAATATGCATTTATTTTAGCTATAATAATCGCAATATATTAACCCATGCGACGAAAACAAGAATGAACCCGGTCGAACACAATGAGAAGACGGGAAAAAAGATCGCATTCAAAGTAAATTACGTCATCTAAAATAAGTGAAATATCCGTTACGGAGTTTAGTCGATATATTGACTTCTTTTTCATATTCCAATCTGATCGTTCGCTAAGCAATCTATTTATGATTTTCTCGTGGAAAGTGCGTAGTATTTGCAAACCTATTCCTTGTTTCGTTTTTTGTTGTTGTCAGTGTATGTTCAAACCGATTGTTACTTTCGTAATGACCAGTGTCGGTAAATTTGAGTGACGGATTAAGTTCAACACGTGATTCACATGTTAAAAGTGCATCGTTCAAATAGTCAGAGGTGCGTCAGACTCGGGTTATAATGACCGCTGACCAGTGATCTGTTTAATTTCGCCGGTGCTCTAGCAAGAACATGTGCGATTACTATTCATTCACACGGCGTTTATCGATCGCTTAGATTGGACATCTTACTCCGAACTTCCGCTCACCAGACCATCGCGATTATTATTCACCCGTTTACACTTTCGTGCGACAGAGCCCATTGATAAACGGAATGGCCGTGGCTTTAGTGACCACTAGAACAAAAATGATTACATTCGAGTGCCCCACAGAACTGCAGAAAAACATCTTTGCAGATTACAAAGATTTATTTTTAGCAATCATAAATCTTCGTTTGTCTCAGCTTGGCCATCCTTTGGAAATCAGCAAGAGCGCAGTTTAAATCAATTGTGCACTTCTGTAATCGACCTGAAATCCGAGCATTAGCCAGGGCAAAGAGCTCCAATTGATCCAGTAACTTCTATGCTACTCTAATTGAAATAACTTCCGGTGCATTCACTGGTTAAGATTGTTTTTCTTTGCGGTGCTTAGTTTGATTAGACACGAGTTCATCTTAATGACCGGAAAAGTGACTTAATGCAAAAATTTTGAATAACCCATCTAAATCATCAAATTNATTCAAAACAGGCGATTTATTATTCGAATATACGCTCATCAATAGACACATAGTGAGTAAAGTCTTCCATCTGATCACATTTATCCTCTGGTGTCTGCTTCATAGGCTGATTCAATGTGGGTTTGAACGTAACATTTATGAAAGCATTGATCAGTACGTGCGGGTGCACAGACATCAAAGATTTCTTGACCAGGAGCATGCCTATGAGGATGTTCACTTCGAATTTCATGCTAAGTTTCTCATCTTCGGTCAAAGACAAAACATATGACATTACATTTCACCGAAACGAACATTTGAAAGACCAAATCCGCTGGTTGCAACATTGATGAACAGTACAAAAACTGCCGCATTAATTTGACATTGGAGAGCACTGTGGCTTTGTTATACATAGAAAAATGGAGAGTCTTTGAAAACCCCTCTTGCGGTTGAAATGGGACAGCCTAGTGTGAGATAACCCAGAAGAAAATACCAGTCAGCGTATCCATGGTTCAACTGTAGTAACTACCCTAGAAACTAATCCACATGGTACCCTCAAACTTTCCCCCACTAACCTACAAAGTAATGCACAAGAGTAGTTGTAGTTTTGTAGGATTGAATAACACATCTGGCTGACCAGGAACGAAACTCACTTTTGGAAGCCTTGAAGTCACGATGATGCATTCCTTGTGCTAGCTGGATTACCTCTTTAAAAATGACGCTCTCCGCTATGCGGTACTCTGTGCTTTTCCACCATAACAGTAAATCAATCCAAGGTTGCTCATTCATAGTCTAGAACTTTTCATTGTTTTTCAGGTGGCATATTTCCTGAAATGCTCCAGCGTTCACCAATTATCCGACAGTGGTTCAATGGGATCTAACACTGAAAACAGTTTTTCTTGAAATACTCAGTGATTCGGTTATGGAGCTCTAATTTGCTCCTGGCCGATTCAGCATTTCCAACCCATTCTGATCGACAGCCGCTTGCACATTTTGAAGTAAAATGACCTTGTCTTCGATTGTCAGCATCGGTGTGTCTTCCTCACAAAGATTATCCAATCAGAGAACCGTGTAATGTTCGCATCACACTAGGTGAACCGCCACTGGTTGAGTGCGACATCGCAAGTTGGCTGATCAATTACCGGCCCTAACGTTTGTTAACGACGAAGTAAGTGGGTATCAGGAACTGCGAGATACTGGGGAGTGCGACATTACATAGTCAGAAACTACGTTATTACACATGCGGTTGGTTTGGGTGTTCCAAAATGTGGGAAGATATTAAAGAATACGACTTCTCAGGGGTACGACATAGCAGGTGATTGACTGTATCTTTTAAGGGAAATGAGGTGACCACAAAGAGATCTCTTTGTTTAACGCACGCCGTGGATTAGACTTACAGCAGGGCTACAAGACGGATACTTGTTTACGTGGTGTTTCATTTTATCAATCCCACTAATCTGGATCGAATAGACGTTAGTGTCACCCCCAATTTTACCGATTCATTTCACTGTGCTTGCGGTCAGAGGTTCATCGGAAGGACAGCACATCATTTATCAACCAGAATGTGTGAACACGCTCCGAAACACCTTGCTATTGGCAGAGGGAATCTACCATCCAGTGCAAATGCCCCGTATTTTTTAGATTCCGGTCGCCATGTAAACATACCCAAAACCTTTCGAGTCATCAGAAAGCCCGAAGTTTACGGGCTTTGTGATTTTCGGAATTGGTAATTATTCATCGCTTGAAACCGCAATTGTGTTCAAAAACATTTGTGACGCAACTGTGGTTGCCGCCGTAGTGATGATGTCACCCTATCACAAAGTGTGACATTACCTTTCCTCCCCTCCGTCCACCACATTCACCACATTGTTTGAACCAGCTCACCTTCATATCAAATTTTGTCGTCCAACTTAACCTCAACCCCTAACCAAACCCAAATCAGTTGTGCACCACCATTTGGCACAAAGTACTCATTTTTAACTTACAGTTTTGGACAGAAAGACTTACTTCGTCCGTCACAGACCTTCCTTTGAACCTCTATTCTCTGTCTCCGGTTCGAGTAACTGACCATAAAATGGGTAGATTCGTCTTTGAGAGTGGGTCTCTATCCATTGGAATATGGTTTCGTGCATTTATACAACACAGGAACAATTGCACTCATTTATGCTATTGCTTGGCTTAACTTTGGTATCGTGGCCTTTATCCGTTTGCTGCGTTGATCTACCTCGGGAACCATTTGCCTTTCCTTCGTGTGATTGCTTCGATCCACTTTCCGTCCCATTTTTATCGCAATGGGGCATTTAATTCGCCTTCCAAAAATCTCAGTAGCTACAATTTTGTTTTGGCAGTGTACAGTGCGCAGCATTTGTTATTCTGACTTGGGAATAACCGTATCCATCAACTGACTACCTGTTAGTAGTCAGTTGTGATAAAATCCATCATTGTTCCGCACAGATGTATTCACATTTTACGTGTATCACATACCGTTGCAGGGTTTAGACAATACAATTCAAGCAAAATCATCGAAGGATATCCACCTCTAATTGATTTATCAGTTGTTTGCAAGGGGCTCATCTAAAGTTTACAATAGATCGATCACAAAGTTCAAACCCCCTGAATTTGCTAAATGTGGCAATTTAAACCTCTTTTCATGTTGAGATAATAGCAACTCATGAACTCGGATGTTTTTACATTTTTTAAACTTTCACCCATAAAACGAGACAGCACGTGCAGCCTGATAAATTATTTGGGAACGACCCTATCACCACCACTGCTGTAAAATGTTTCGTCGATGGTTTGCACCTGTTTNTTAATATGAAACTTAGAAGGATCTATTTTGATATCCAGATGCCGTTAAACATCACACATAACTCTAACTTCGCTCTACGATAAAGTTTTTCCACTGCATGGAGGCGAGGTCACTCTTTGGCCCATTTTTTCATCTTTGTTGTCATTGAGATACAAACGACCGTTTACTACCCGTTCACTAATCCAGGTTCGCAAACCACTTCGGACGTGATAGATATGCAATAGAAGTGATTGATAAAAAAGTGAAACAAGAGTTAAGTGGTTCTCTGGTTACGCCCCTGATGTTTCATCAGAAATCATTCCGTGAACCATGGAAGTCTATTTCTGGCTCGGTCGAACGGGAATGCGTCGTCCTACTTCATTCGCTTGGGTCACATTGCATGCTGACAGACCTCATCGATCAAACGGAGATCTCATGGATTGCTTCACACTTCCCGCTTACTGACGAGATCAACCGCAATTATCTTAGTCCTATGTGAACAGAGACATCAGTATGACAAATCAATTTCACGCCCATCAGCTCTGGTACTCCTACGATCGTAGCTTTGGTGACCAATGTACCACAAATAATCGGTGTGGTATATGGATCATTGAAACGGCATAAAAATATTCGGCTGTTTCTGAAATTTTGGCACACTGGATAAATTCAGTCGTTTTGGAATGGACTATGGTACACGGTTTTCTCTAAAAAGTGTAGCATTTACCAGGACTCAATTGAAACCAAATCATAACTGGTCGTTTGTCCTAGTTTTTCCCTCCGTCAAGGAAACGAAAAAATCGCGGTTTTGATCAACTGCACAGTCCTGTAATCGATCTTAACCTCGAGTGTTCTCCAAGAACCTACAGCTTAAGTTGATCGACTGGTTTACTTTGCTCTCCGATTGGGAGTACTTTTAGTGCACCGATTGCTCTACATTTATCTTCTTGTTTGCGAAGCTTGTTGATACAAAACTAAAACTGGGTGGTAGACATAAAATAGTATTTTAAGATAGCCCACTTCGGCCCCATCAAAGTTCGAACAGGTGGTTTGTATTTATGTGGAAGGCTTTTACTATGCGTGCAAGGCAGAGTTCACGGGTTTTAAAACTTTCCAATAACTAGCAGCGACAGCTTTTCTCCAGGTATCCCCTCCCCCCACGAATCAGTAACACTGTCATTTTCTCATTTGCAGAAGTCACTGCTTCCGACTACATACCGTAGGCAGATCGTAGCAGCCAATCAGAGATCGTGCGGCCCAGACAGAAGCAGAACGATGTCAGGAATATTGGAACGCGATTGGTAGACGCCCGGATAACCAATGAACCTACCTTGTACATATTATTTAATCCCTGTTATTTCTTCCAATAAATGAACTACTACTCCTGTGGTCTTTTCCTCGCGTCTCAGTTACGTGGGATATTGCGTGCTAGTGGCAGTGCGGTCCAACGCTTACGTGATCCAGTCCGTGGTTGCAAATCCTTGATTCGTATCCTGAGTTCAGTGCGTATTACTACTACTATAACCACTACAGAATGCCAAGAAACTTTGCGACAGATCTATGGGTTTCATCCGGATAATTTAGCATATCCAAGTGCATTCTTCATCTCTCTGATAGATATCACTACAACTGAGATCTATCAAATTGTTGTCATCCGTTTACGTTCCCCACCAGAACACTGAACAGGACCATGTGTACGTCTGACTCAGTCAGACATCATTGGCGGAATGCAATAGTACGTGTTGGTTGGTCGAAGATCAATTCACGCATCGGTAACTGGCAAAGAATTGTGACATCCATTGTGAATGCATGATCAGGTTAGTTTGGGTTTACTCCGAAGTTGGAAGACATTGAAAATTGTCATCTGTCATGAATGCAGTTTGTGAGAAGAGATCGGCGGTACCGCATACTTCACTGTTGGAAATACCACACCTAACCTACGGGGATTCACCACTCCAAGTCCCGGGGCTTAGGTTATCGGTTTTCATCACTGAATAGCAGATCCTCGTGACTGACTATGCGGTTTATCCCCGTAATTCATCACACTAAGGTGTGTAATTTAAGATAATTGCCGTGAGTCACTTTGTACACACCTCACACATCCTTGCAAGCTCGTGGAGATTCAGTGTTATCACTCATCTTGAAACTAAACTGAAGAAGAGAAAATTACCTCCAATTTTCCTATCGGAATACATGGCTTTCGGATAAAGAAATAATTCGAAATGTTTGTCGTAAATCCTTCATCAATTTCGGTTTCGAAAACCCGTCAAATTTCTCCCAAACGTTGTAGGCCATTGGTGTCCAATTTCCGTTTAGCATATATCAACCAAGGGTACAGTTAACGGTAAGATGAGATCGAGACAACAGCGATATGATGATTTTTAAGATATTTACCGAAGGTTGAGTGAATGTGCCTTTGAAGCACGATTCACATGTGTAAATAATGTGAAATGATTGTAGCTCGGGTTATGGATGTCGGTGTTGGTTTGTTTCCCGAGCTGGAAGTGTTATTCGCAGACCTTCCCTAGCCAGGCTAAGCAATAGTCCAATAGGATTGAAGGAACGTAAACAGCCAACTGAAACTCGGTCACACTGAAGACTGGCGCTCCCCCGGAGTTGTACTGATGATGTTTCCTAGCCTGACGACAAAATATCTGCGAACAACTCTTCCAACTCAGAGAACACACCAGCAACAAGATAATTCACATATCGCACCGTTTCTAAGATTATGCGGAAGGTGCACATTTTCTGCTCCATCGCGGTGGGACCTTACTTATCGGTCTTATATCCAGGGCTATTCAAACAAATTCTGGTGAAGTCCGATTAGTCGAGCGACAGTCTAAATCAATCGCTATACTATACAACACTCAGATGAGCTGAACTAGTGATAGCCCACGGGATGAGCGAGTTAGGGAATTCCCCTGTCGCGCTAATTTTCGAATCCCGATTGATTCTGTTGATATTCACCGCTGAGGATTCGCAAATGGTCGTGTGATTCAGCTTCTCCAGTCAAATTTGCCTAACGAATAATACACTTAAAAAAGATAACTAATACCACGCCACTTTTTCGGAAGGAAGGAACATAAAAGAAACAGAAACAGAAACGCGTAGCTGCCAAACAATTTCCCAGTCGGATCCAGTTACTTTGCCAACAAAGTGTATATGTTTGAATGAATAATCACTTTGGTTAACTCCATCATATTGCAACTTTATCCGTTTGCGAAACATCAGATATAATAACATCCCCCGTTTCATCAGTAAAACGATCATTATTTTCAAGTTAATCCACTTCATTCCTAGGGTGATTTGAACGATGAGAAAAAGCACCTACATCGAGCAATTTTTCACGGCAAAGTTATTTTGGGTTTGAGCCCATTTGTGTCGCTCTCAACCACGGTAGAACGAATCTCACTCAAGTGATGTTTCGCGACGGAGTGGCGTGGAACCGGGATTTGACCTCGCCCCAGCTAGGGACAGTTCAGGCCGGAACATGTCCCCGTGAGAAGCACTCAATCCTCGTATTATGTACACTTGGTTAGATTCTTTTGTATGCCACTTTCCAACATGACTACCAGCTCATTGAGTAGTCCTGTGACGTGCTCTTCAACTCAGTTCGGACTATTATAAGCTTCTAGCAAAAACGTTTTACCCCGATGATGAATGTATTCAGTGTGAACTATGCACAGTTCAAGTGTTGCTTCTATCCAACAAATTTTATCGATTTTAACTCCTCTCGCCTGCATCAGTTTGAGTATGTATATCTTCAGGTGTAATAGATATAAATCTCGGATCTCCAGATAGGAATGAGCTATTCGATAGAACTGATAATCTAGGTATTGTATGGTCTTTTTCCTTTCTGTAGTTAGCTGGTTGGTGTGTTTGCGTGCAATTTCGGGGTTCAATCAGTGAAAGGGTCGTGTAACTTGCACTGATGAGTTGTGTTCCGAGTCAAAACATGTGCACAGTGTCTCCCTACCTTTCAGTTCGTACATTCTCGTCACGCAAACAACATTAAGATATTAAACGAAATCTTTTGTACATATGGGAGGGCATTCCATGTCCCAATGGCTCCTGTCTATTGTGAAGCAAAACAATCCATCAAATAAGAAACTGGCCTGTCAAAAGTGTGGTATTTACTGTGTAATTGTTAACTGCGGAGGTTAGAACAAACTGAGTATCTTTGAAATAGGAAAAACATTCTGGTAATGATGATGATGATATTTATTATTATATAATATATATATATATATTATATATTATTATATTATTCTTGCGATAGAATGTAAAACACATTCTTCCATTGTGGTGGACCGTTTCAAGTCACTTGATCACTATGACGTAGCAACGTACTGCTTTATGGATGCCACGTACGCATTCGTCCATCAGTTCCCATTGATCGTCGAATCACGTGATACAGTAGATCATGCCAAACAGCGACTAATGCACTTCCAAGTCGTTTCGTTCGTGAGCCAGCTTGACCTCAATCAATGTATTCTCACGATCATTCATTCAATTGTTAACCTGGCTCCGATCAGCGCGCTATTTTGTGTTTTCTGATTTTCTTTGTTGGGTTACGGGCCCTAAAATTACGGTGCATAGCGTGGCGATTGGAATTCGGTCTTGACATTATTTTCCGTATTATCACAGAGAAACAAAGTTGACAACTCTGTGAATTATTGTTTTCCGAATATCTAACGCGGTCTTTCCATACTGATGAAACTCGAAAACTTACAGTGATTTTGTATCTAGGTTTCGTGAATACGATGTCTATCATGTCTATCAACCCATCCTCACTCGCTTTACATTCTGTCCCATTTGCTATCCATATCCTCTGAATATTTTTGTCGGTTTACGTCTTCCAAGACCAGGCGAATCGTTCACAGAGGCATAGAAACAATATCAGACTATTTACCATGTTTACTATATTAGACTATTTACCAGTTCTTCGGGATTGGTGACTGAAGAATAGGTCAGCTGAACGGACATGAAAGCTTTTAGTTGCCTTTTCCTCATCGGTTTCTCTGTAGTACAAAAAGCCTTCGATGCCACCCCCATACTTTAAACAGAGCGATTCACTTTCTGTGAGTTGATCAAGCAGATCTACACCGTGTATGTGTGTGCATCTGTCTCTCTACACACGAGCTGGTGAATTAGTCGATGAAATTCGCAGAGAGCTAGAAACATTTGCTCAGAAGACGTACCACAAACGGGAATTCAACTTTATCTCAGACATTCGCCAATGTGCCGCTCACACAGATTTCTCCATTCAAAGCTGCATCATGAAACAGGAGTCACGATCACATGATAACCGGGACCCCAGTTCAAAACTCTTCCTTGTAAAAGCAAGATTGCTTCAACAACTCTTGTAAGAATCCGAAACGGAGCACGGGAAGCTATTTTCAATCCCACTCATCTGCATATGCATATGTCCATGCGATATTACTGTAGAATGGTTTTATGATTTTATGGTTCTTTACCCTACGAAAAGCATTTTTTACGCAACCCACATCGGTCTTAGAGCAGGGCAATTTTCTGATCCAGTCTTTGTTTATCACTTGCCCTTGTCCAGATAATTGGATTTGGATTGACATCCCCTTCTTCAAACCTCATCTTCATGCACCATCTATCCTCAGTTCATTGACAATTAGCAGTACACTCAGGTAGCACTGCTTGGCTGTAGTTTATCTCTCATCCGTTGCTCCCCCCTCACTGATAGTTGACCAGTTATTTCAGTCCGATTGCAACGCAAGGAGATGCGGTTAACTCGATTCGAAAGCTTCTCTTACAAAGGAACAATTTCAGGCTGGCTCAGGCAACCTTGCTACGATTAATCTTGACAGGCTAGATTTCAACTCACAGTTAACTTACAGTTCCTTTTGAGCAGTGTTGTGGTATATGTGAAGATGTCGTCGTCTGAAGAATGGTGTGGCAATCCAACACTCCATGAGATCACTAGGACCGGAGTGACTCACAATAGCTTCAGCATGATCAATGGAAAGCCCACTCTCTGACCCCAACCAACGTGGTTCGAACGGAAATCATGCGTCCAGAAGTACATGCACTGTCCTTGGTCAATGCTGTCTCATTCAATAATATTTTTGTACATACCATTTACTCGCTATTTCTGTGGTCTTCTTCCTACGTCTCAATCCCTGGAGATGAACCAATCGCCTGTGCACTGCCACTACTGTCTTGCGCACACCTAACTACTCTTACTGTGTAGTCGGATCGCACATCGCGTTCCAGCCTAATGCCATTCACCGGAACTTAAACGCACAGCTTCATTCCACGGTCGAGGGTGGGCAATAGTAACAGACTGATCCGAAATTGTGCAATCTGGCGGGCATTGAGATATGCCGCGCGAGAGCTATAGACTCAGGCCGACCGGGTGAAGTTTGTTTGGAATGCAACGGTACGCGAACAATGCCAGGCATGGAAACACAAAGCAGTCTCACGCAAACCCCGTGACACAAATAGGCAGACAGTTACGAGATACACAGAGCATTGTCTACAGAGGACGATGAAATCCGGTTCATTCTTTGCTAAAATACGGAAGGAATGAGTGAGTGAGTGAGTGAATGAGTGAGTGAGAAAAGACGTACTTAGTACTGACGAGATTCGTAACTTGGCGAAAGTTATTCCAATCCCTATGACATCATCTCAGTTCTTTCAGCATTCAGTTGCTCGCGTTTACAACCTTCGACCCGGTGATTATGCAGTCGAATAAAACCCAGCTGGCTCTACCCACCAGTCCAGATCAAGCAAAAATATATGAAATCGTAATAGCGATTCGTGATCCACACGGGAACCCGGATCTGCAGAACCCATAGAATAAATAAGGAATGGCCGAAGAATTTAATCAGACGTGATATTTTTAACAAATTCCATCACAGTACATAGAATACTAGTCTGTAGGAAGCCATATCTGTGAAACCTTGTTCATCTTGATAGTAGCCAGCTTTGGGTGGGTGTGAGGAGTGTGATACAAAATACCTAACAACATACATACGAACGGGAATTTTATGGATAAAGGCCTACGGAAATAATCCAAGAATGAGACATGTTGATGTGTGTATTTTTATATTAGCTTTTCGTGACCACAAGAAGTACATCCGGAATCGATTGGATCAACTAGAAAAGAAAAACAAAAAATCATAAAAATTCATGATTCTGAAGGGATATTTCGTAACGGTTGTTATGATGTAACGCATAATTTTTGAAAACTTGCCTCAAATCGAGCGCCAGTATTCAAAAGTGAGGCACATGAAAATTGCCATCCCAGATGGAGTTAGTTTCTTCACACCTGGAAGAAGACAACATGCTCCGATTAGACAAATGTCAACGGAATTCGGCTGCGATGGAGGCTGCGCGGGGGGAGGGGGGAAGGCTTCTAGTACGGGAGCCCAAGGTACGAGGTGCACAAGGCCATGAGAGACGATTGCGACTCACTTGATATGTATGCGAGAACGAATTGGTCTTCCGCATCAAAGGTGGTCCCATTGATCAGGACGCGTACGGTGCCAGCTCCACTTACATATGTCCAAGGCAGTTCAGACTCGCACAGTTTGATGAAACGCTTTTGAATGTGATGTTCCTCAATTGTCAGTTGATTCATATTACAACCCGGAGTTGTTTCATTTGGGGCATGAATATTCTGCAACAGGCAGAGCAAATGATTGAGGTAGGGTGCCCGTGAGAAATTCAACTGTTTTCGTCTAACAAATAGGAATTATGATGTTTGGCAAAGTTCTAGCTAACCAAAACCGAACATTTTGCTTTTTACAATACAGAATTTGTTTTTAGTGATTCGTCTTCTTAGCTTCATAGACTGCGTGTTGTATAGCTGGGGTAAAAACGGTCTCAAAATCCATTCCGAAGGTTGAAAAGAAAAGAAAAGAAGAACACTGTTTTTCTTATCCACTCCTGTCACTCCTGTCGTTTCACGAAGCTACTCCTTTTCCTCGCACGGTTTAGTCGAAACCCGCAATCCTTTAGCCACAACCTGTTTTGTTTTAGCCTCAACGCACACCTCTTTGATTTAGAAGTTTAACTTCCCCATCCAAAGAATCGATGACAAACTTCGTTCGGTTACGCTGCGATTACAGTTTGTTTATTGCGTGACTTTAGACGATCCACCAAAGAGGGTCGAAAACTGCATAACACTGGTCCACAGTTGAAGTTGAACTAACTATACGGTTTGCCCTCAAGCTTATGTCAAAACGCTCAATGCTTTGGCCTCGACTCACAAACCTTCAGCAAAAACCTGCAATGCGTTAACCACAACCCGTAGTCCTTTAGCCTTGAAGCACAAATTTGCACGCACATCACTGTGGGTGAGTCAGATTAAAAAGTATTGGGATATTTTGAGTTCAACGAGTGTTGGAACATTTCATTTTCTATACAAATGTTGATGTAAGAAATGAGGTGTGGCGATCGCATGCTGCACTATATGTCTATTGCAGGGGGTTTAAACAATGTGCCCGTATCGTCAAACCATTTGATACATCTCGTACAGCCTCAGTGTTTCCGTATAACATGCGATGCTCCTGCAAAAACTCTCGTATGTATCGTAAACGATACATTATTTTGCATTCACAGACCGTGAAATAAATCGAAAAGCGATGTCACAAAAGGGTAAATACTCAATGTCCTCCTGTATCTCTACCTTAAGTGAGATGTGGATATATTAACAGTCCGAGGATAATGAACACCGTTCACAAAAGTACATCCCGTTTGGTACACCGTTTGCCATCAAAATGCACACGAAACCCGTAATTCTTGAAATTTGATTGTGGTAATTATGTCAAATGTTGTAGCGCTGATAAAGTGACGGTACTAATGGGATTGTATTTTAGTGAACGGTGTGTATTAACCCTAGCCTGTTAATGTATCCACTTCTCATGAACAGAATTCACTTTAATTGGAGATACGGAACGTTAAGCATCCATTTTTTGTGTGCTATCACTCTGATTTATTTCGGGGCTTGTGATTACAAAAAATGTACTGTTTGTGTTACATTTGAGAATTTTACTCACATCATATGTTATACGGAAACACTGCGGTTGTACGAGATGTGTCTAATGTTTTGACGATACGAGGCACATCGGTTAAATCTACTCCAATCAATATGCAGTGCAGCCTGCGAACGTCATACCTCATTTGCAACATCAACATTTGTAGATAGATGATTTTTTTCGAATTTACTTGACCTTAGAGTATATAATTTTTGATCTGATTCGCTTACAGCGATGTGACTAAAATTTGTTCATCTAGGCCGAAGGACTGCGAGTCATAACTAAAGCATTACTGGTTTTGGCTAAAGGATTGTCGGTCAAGGCTAAACGACTGTGTCGAGGCTAAAGGGTTGCACGGTTTTAGTCAAATCTTTATGGAAAAAGGTGTAATTTGCCTATCTCTTAGTCAATCGGACGACAACTGTCACCCACCTTAAAGACAAACTGTTGCATAATACTTTCTGTGCAATACAGTGCCGAATTTAATACCTTTTTTGCTGATATATGCTCTAGGAATTTGTGAACTGTTAGGATCCATTCGTTGAGTGCATAACGCGTTCCTTCACTTGACTTGTTTCTATAGGTGACAACGGGTGGCGGATAACTAACGGTGATAGCTTATTTGATTGCTCGGCAACGTTTTATGATTCAGAACGTCCACTTGTGAGCCGAGTATAGAGCAGGATGTAAATCGCCGCGGTCGACGTGTTCTTCCATCACTCGGGTGGAGCATCTTCCATTCACTATAGACCCAGTTTATAATGGTCATATTAAAACCTGTTTGGATCGATACCATACCGTATTTTATCACCGAGGGTAGTTCAGTTATTGAAGAATTGCCAAAAGCAGCCGGGTTTCGGGTTGATAAAATTCCGTGCAGTATACTTACACATTTACACGAACAAAACACAGAAACCACAGGTCCACAGCTGATTGTTTCAAGTGAGTTGTCATTAGGGTTGAGAATGACCGATGCTCTTGAATGAGTTTCTTCCATTAGACTCAGAGATGAGAGAGCGAAAGAACTGACTGCAGAGAGATGGTGATCAGCTTAGTACGTCCCCGAGGAAGCCCTAATCAGTGCCTTCTCGTGGCGGAGATGTTTTCCCACCAAAGTGAGAGGAGAAAACCAAAATCCAGGGATATAACCGGGTTGGTGGACAACTGCAAGTTCACCTAGGGGAATTGGCCAAAAACCCTGATTCCAAACCAAACAAGAGGAGGAGTACGAAACACACCCACAAATTCCCGGCTGTAGCAATGGTTACCGGCTCGATTGGTCATCGAGGTGTATTGGGCACCTTGGACGTTCGAACTCGTCCGAAGGGCGTATGATTCGATGATCTGAGCACAGACATCTAATGGATTGAGATTATCGCACACAGCCCCGTTGCCTTGCGGGTCAACCTTTGGCTAGCCAAAGGCTCCGTTTGTGAAATCCCTAGGAAAATTTACCTGATTTGACCTGGGATAACTAGCGGTAGCTTACCCTCGAGCAAATCATGGATCTTCTTTTTTTATAAATATTATTGTACCACGGTTTGTTTGGGACAGTCTGAACTCATATATATATATTTTCACATTCATTCACATACTGTTTATTGTTAAATATATTTATATTGTCCAAACTCAATCTTGTGTGAAAATATATATATATATATATATTAATAATATACATAGAACCAGCTAGACAGGGAAAATATTCTGGATGAAACTCCCATCTGTAAATTTCTTCAACAATAAACGTATGTTATAAAAGTCAAAATTCTTAATTATCTATCAATTGCTTGATTCGATTGTACACATAGAATGGGTATATATTACCATTCTACCAGCCAGCTCGAATAGGTCCAACCAGAATTGCCAATCCATGTTCGTTCAGGTGTCGTCTTCCGAGATTCTCCGTCACTTCCTTATGGCATGACTTATCTAACTCACAAGTAATTGATTTAACCACCATAGTTTCACCACAACCGTTTAGGTTCCACGAAGTGGAGTTATTATTGCCGGTGAACATGATTGTTCAAGCATCCTGCGTGGATGGAACAGGCCTTTGATTCATCCGCGGTGTACCCTTCTATCTTTCTAAGGAGGTGGTGCCCACGGAGACAGTAACACGCATGTTATTTCGCAGCTGACCTATGCAAGACGCATTACCACTACCAATGTTATAACTCCTCAAAACGGTGCGAGGTGGAGGATGTTTCTCTAATGTTGATTACACCTGGGATATCACTAATTTGGCATGGATAACAGAGAAATCTTATCAGAAACATACCATAGCAGTTCTTGGCAGCACAACGGATAATGAATGTAGCAATCGATAGTTATTCTCTGAGACAGCAAATTGCCCTCGATGATCTTGTTTATTTTTGATCATCCAAATAAATTACCAAATGTGCTACCTACTACTCACAAACATGAGTAATACCTTATGACACCAAGACCGAGTGTGAGGTGATTAAAGTCTCCGAAATCACACCAGCCAAGGAGCTAAGCATTAAAGGTTCCAGGACGACTAATCAGTCAGTGATCTACAATCTAAGTCGATCAAAAACCATGCGATTCAATCAAGTTTGTGACCTAGAGAACTCGAATAGCGATTGGTCAAAATCTTTTGACCAATGAAGTTTGTTTGCTTAATTCCATTAGTTTCTTGCAATAAATGAACCGCTGCTTCTCTGTCCTTTTAAGTGGTTTAGACTTCGGCAGATGACAACTGGTGCAATTATGTGACTCAATTTTGATTCCTGATTCCTGATTGGGCACTATACTGAGTGCCGTACATTCGGCTCACAGAGCTGGAACGCTTTATTATTCATACTTCAGGTATGTTAGAAAATTTAATCGAATTAAGAAGTTCCCGAAAAATATTACTCCCCAAACAAATTTACACAGTGTGATAAGAAGAAGGAAAACAGTTTTTCTCTTTCCCGTCTGTGTTCCAATGTCACTACGGATTCATTATCTATCAGGGTGGTGACTGATTGAAATTTGTATGCAAATGGTCGAGACACGCTGAAGCAAAACTCCGCTATTCGACCGTAAAACACGGTGTCTACTCGGTTGCTTCCGTCCCCGACAATTATTATCAGTTACTCACCATCGGTACGCAGTGCTTGACGAACAGTATGCATCTCGAGGAATCAGTTCCAAAGCGTACAATTCTATCCATATTAAGCAAAACACAGTGACCACACACACACACACACATAGAGACTGTGCGATTTTTACCAGTGAAAAGTCCTCTATGGAACGCCTTCGTATTCTCACTCTCTGTTCACTCTTGAAATGAGTTGACACAAATTCTATCCACTAAGCTCGCAAACAGTGTTCCTCTTTGAGCCATATTTTACGAGTGTAGCTGTTCTCGGCATCGGAACACTGGAAAACAAAACAAAGTCGACTTAGATACTCTCGGTTACACCAATATAGTAGGAAAGGAGTTTGTGGTTTAAGAG